AAGCACAGGCGTGCCATTCGAGAGATCCGAGTTCGAGTCTCGGTAAACGGAATTCTTTTATTTTGTTTTTAATTTACATATTTTTTTCTTTTTAAATTTTTTTAATTTATGGATCTTATTGTTTTATAAAGAAAAATATACATACATATATATAAAAATACTTTTTTCTTTATTAATTTAATTTAATTTTAATGTTTAGATGTTATTCTTTTAAAAAGAAGAATATTTTTTACTTTCATTTAATTCTATAAAATTGTTATTTTTTCTTTTTTGAATAAATATTTTTTTTGTTTTCATTTTCTTTGATTCTTAGATTTTATTGTTTTAAAAAGAAAAATATTTTTTTAACTTAATTTAATTTTTAGAATTTTATTTTATTAATTTTTTCTTTTTTAAATAAAATTTGTGTTTCTGTTGTTAGCCTTATTTTATTTTAATGCTTAGAAAAAATAAAAATATGTTTTTATATCATTTAATTTTTAAGTTTTTTTTTATTTATTTATTGTCTTTTTCAATTAAATTTTTAGATTTTGTTTTGTCTTTTAATATCATTTTCGTCTATTTTGATATATTTATTATTTTCTAATTTAATTCTCGATTTTATTGTTAAAAACATATGTTATTGAAATTTTATTTTTTATTGTTTTAAAAAGAAAAATATATATATTTTTTTACTTAATTAAAAAAAACTAGTTGCTGAAAGGCCAGTAGCATAACGCTAAGACTTCTTCGTTAGCAGATCTTTCAATAAATCTTTCAAGAGCTTTCAAGATAGTAGTCACACTTGGCAATTGACGAAAGACTTTTGTCTTTCGAAAAAGTGTGGTGAATTGAAAGACAAAATTTCCCTGTAAGACTTGCGTGAGCTTAACCGATTTGCAAATATCTTCAAAAATCTCAATATTATTTTTATTTCGTGTTTCTATAAATTACCGTTATATGGGAGGTGAGCGTGGCCATTGCCCGATTTCAAAGATTTTCAACAAATTTCTTAGCTGGATCCTAAGCAAGGCTCGTACCGAGTTTGGTAAGGATTGGTGAAGCGGCTACGAAGATAAAGTATTTCATCATAAGTGGGCGCCCCTTTTCCAAAATTTCATAACAATAATATCATTTTGCACCAAAATTCTACTTCACATACTAATTTTCGACAATTTGGTTCCAATATTTACTGAAATATCATAGTTTTTCGAAAATACCTTTATATGAGAGGGAGGCGTGGTTACAGTCCGATTTCGCCCGTTTTCAATAGCAACCTACCTTGGATAAAGGGCAACCTACATATATACCAAATTTCGTTGAGATATCTTAACGAGTTATCGTGTATACGGACAGACGGACGGACGGACAGACAGGCATGGCTTAATCGACTGCTCTTTTCATTCTGATCATTTAGGTATACATTTATCCATATCTATCTCGATTCCTTTAGGCTGTTACAAACAACCGTTATGCGAACAAAGTCATAACACCCTGTGCACAAGTGCGCTCGGGTATAAAAAAGCATATATGGCACGAATATGATTAAAAATATTCGTGTGAATACGAATACGAATTGAAATGCCAAAATGAAAACGAATAAAAATGCGAACTCATTTTCTTCTTATTTTTCGAGCGACACAAGTTCTTCTTACCAAATCTACACGGATCCATCTGTTCATTGTTTTTCAATGCGTTCGTGTACACTCTTACGTACCGTGTGCGCCAAGTCGGGGTATTCTTAGACACACCTTTATTTTGGTCGAAAACTCGCAAAAAACTTCCTTTTTTGAAATTTTATAGCTTGGTTTTGTAGTACGAGAAATAACCTTCCTTTTGCTATCAGCACTTTGATCAAATTGTATTAAATTAGGCGTGCTATTTCAGTGGAAAAGAAAAATTGTGTTTTTGCACTTTTGAAAAATCTCGGGGAATTATTGGACAGTTTGTAAGTCGATAAAAATTGAAAATTATTGGTGGAAAACATTTATTTATGAACGAAAACGAGAGAAGGCATCATTATTAAAAGAATAATGTGAAAAATTACGATTTAAATTTTTCCGGCGTAAGAAAGCGGCATTCTGGTTAAACTAAAAGTTATCGGTCCAAAAAACTATTATAAATTACCGAAAAACTAATGCTGTATAGAATTTATGCAAGAAAATTCCCTCAAATGTCAAGATCTAAGTATCCAATAATACCCCGAAGACAGTGTCCAATAATTCCCCGAACTCTCATTTTTGCAAAATCGTGGCGTATAAGTAGGTAACACAATACAAACTTTATACAAAATTATTTTCTGCGTCGGAGTCCACGAGTACTATAAATATATTTAACTGAGTTGGTTCGTCGGAAAATCTTGTCAAAATACCGACATCATGGAAACACTCACAGACGTTATTTACATCAAATCCTTCAATTAA